TGAGCCATGTGCTATTTATTGACTGTGAGTCCTGGAAGACTCACTCCAAGTGCAGAAGCTGAGGCTGCTGACCATACTCTTGGGCTGGGGGTGCTGTTTATGTGGTTTTGCTGGGTGGGGGTTGTTGCCGTTATTGATATTAATTTTTTTGTATCTTTATTTTTGATGTGGAAATTGTTCTGTTTGGTTGTGTACTTTTTGATGTTTTATTTATTGTTTGACTACTTTTGTTATGTATGTGATTATGCATTTTTTTACATGTTGCAATTCCCCCTGAGCATGGTTCCAACTATGGAAAGCCGGCATACAAATAAAATGATGTATGTATGTATTTCCTTTGACATTCATGTTACTTTTGATGAATGATGAGTAAGAAATGCAGTCTCCCAAAGCACAATTCTTCCACCCACACATTAAGCAGAAATGCTGAAGGGAGAGCTGGATCATGGCAGCTAATCTTGTCCCTATAGGTGTACCTTATCCCCAGTGTCTTCACATTAAAAACAGGGCTATGCACACGTAGCATTGGCCACTTGTGAGATCATTTAGGTAAGGCTGAAATAACCTTGCCAGGCCTATAACAAAGACTAGCAGCTGAACTATGGGCACCAAGGCAAACTGTCTTCCTACTTCCTACTTTGCTGGGATGCAACACTTGATTGTATTCAGGGCTGTGCAAGAGGCATAATTTGAAAGGCAAGGCTAGAGAATACTTCATGCACGCCAAGTGTATGACTGGAGTGGAGGTGTCAGCCTTTGCACTTTGGTGGGTACTTAATGCATTTTCTCTCAACCGAGGGACCACACTGCAAGGTAACTTGTTCTCTGGCAGCAAGAAACTTGTTTATATCACCAGAGAGTCATGCTGCTAAGTTTTGAAAAATGAATTTGCAGTACTCAGAAGTAAGTCACACTGTGTTCAGTGTGGTTTACTCCTGAGAAAATGGACTTCGGATTGCAATTTTAGTTTCACTGGGACCTACTTAAACTTTGGGCTCAAGGAAGATTCACACATTTATCATCAAACATGTGTTGATGAGGGCTAGAATTATCCTGCACTTTAAAGGAAAGTGAGGTGTCGTTCCATCAAACACCTTCGTGGAATGCATGCTTATTTTTCTCAGTCCTAGTGTGCACATGACTTCAAACGTTTGAGAGCTCCTGCTCCATAGTCCAGTCCCATTGCAATACAGATCGAGGTACCATATCCAGGAAGCAATAATCATGGTTCCTTCTCATTGAATATCACCTACTGAAAAGGGTAATGATCGTTCATCTGGCTTATGTGGGAGACTCTGATCAGCATGTATGTGTGGACATCAGCATATATGCAGCTGAAGCAGCAAAAGAATGTCTTCCCCTTGTCCCCTGTCATCAGTTTCAAATAATGCCTAGTTCAGAAGTAGTCAACATGGTGGTCTGCAGATGTTGGGCTGCAACTCCCATTCCCCCAAGCAGCATGGCCAACGGTCAAGGACGATGTGGATTGAAATTCAACAAGCTCTGCAGGCCACCATGTTGGCTATCCCCAATCTGGATGTTGCTTGAGAAGGATGGAACCAGAATGTGGCAAAGCAGTTTTCATGCTGCCGCAGAAAAAAATTATAGACTTCACAGAATAGGAAATTAAACCCTCCCGCAGCAAACTTGCACACTGGGGAAATACCGGTTCCACTTAGCATGATGAAGTATCAGCGGTCTTGGTGACAGCTAATTTTCTTCTGACCCTCAGGTTTGCTGGCAGCTTAATTTGATGACAATAGGCAAGAAGCTTATGGGTTCAATGGGGAAAGGGTTAATTAATAGATCAGGTAAGATTCAGCTTGGTGCCCTATATGTATTAGCCTTATGAGAATTTCGAAACTCCTTTCAGTACTACAGAGCTCTATGATTTTTGGGTTTCTATTAAGGAGATATAGACAAAATAATTATCACACCAGCTAAAACCCGCACCTCAAAATCTGTTGTGAAAAGTGCAGGCCTCTCCAAGTGTTTTGCTGAATTGGAAAGGTTTCCCTTGCTGACTGAAAAACAGACAGCTGCTGACTCGCTACATATTTTTGCCTTAAACCAAGAAGCAAAAAACTGAAGGAGTAGTAATGCAAAATGAAGATTAAAGTCTTGCCACCGGCACAAGTGCAGCGCGCTTGACAGCTGCCTCTTGCCAAATCAGCGGAGGTTTCGAGGAGCAGGGATGGAAGACCTTGCAAAAGCATGGAGAAGAAATGTGTTATGTTTTAGAGATGACATTTTGGAAGCTCCCCGACTAGAATTTCAAAGTGGGGTCAAACTAGCCCCCCCCCCAGCAGCTGGGCTGCGTCATATATTACATGGCAGCAGATGTGGGTTGGACATGGGGAGGGGGAGAAATTCAGTCAGTTTGCATTTTTATGCGAATCTACCTAATTTTCACCTTCCAAACCGATGCACACTACTCTGAATTTTGTCCAACCCAAAAATACATACAAAAAAGGTGTATATTGGGGTAAACTATGCACCAAAATGCAGGTCTTAATCAAAATCATATACAAAAATGCATTATATATGGGGACATTGCTGGTAAACACACACCAATGAGTTTATTTGGCATGTAACAACTCTGGATACTCAGTTATAGTGTAGTGTTGATAACGCCAAGGTTGCAGGTTCGATCCCCGTATGGGACAGCTGCATTTCCCTGCATTGCAGGGCGTTGAACTAGATGATCCTCAGGATCCCTTCCAACACTACAAATCTATGATTTCCACGATATTCACTTAAATGGGTTCATTTGGAGAGAGTGCACAGATTTTCATGCAGCCTGGGGCATCCATATCATGTGAGATAACCGGTGTGCCTGAGGACTTGGTGAAAGGAACCAGTACCAGATGCAATGAGTAACCATCCACTTTATATGCTTACTCAGAAGTTAGTCCCACTGAGTTCAGTGGGGCTTACTCCCATGTAAGTGGGTGCAGAAGTGCAGCCCGAATCACCTCAGAATCAATGACTTGGGTCCTAACTGTCCATTCTGCAAATATATGGTTCCAAAATGGCCTCTAGCTCTCTGGAGCAGCTTTTCAGAAAGTGCAGAAGGCAGGGAGAATCAGTAGAAATCATTTATTTTCATTCTGCTGGCATGAGCTTTTTAAAAATAAAAATAAAAATGAGGTGTCCCATTCGCAGTCACTTTAGGAACCAATGTTTAAATTTATAACATTTGTTTAAAGCATCAGGTAAATTGCCTTCAGGATTCTTTTAAACACTGCCTACAATTCTTGAAATGAGGTTGAGGATTTAAAAGGATTTTTTTTTCAAAAAAACCCAAAAAACCCAACAACAAATAAACCGAACAAACCCAGCTCTCATCTAACAAATTGCAATAGAGTTATTGCCAGGAAATATTTTAGAAGTAACAGTTAACGCTGACAGTAACACTAACAGTGCACTGTGGAAGATAATTAATGGAAATAGAGTGCTGAAGTAGTTTTGAGTTTGTGGTTTTAAAAAAACAGTGTGCTAACAGCACAGACAAGTCATCTAAAATGAGTCTAACTTTTGATCATATATCTGGGTGACATATATTTTAGGAAACTGGGGGGGGGGAACCTCTTCCACGACATACTTTTTGACATTTCTCAAGCACTGGAGTTGTGTGTGGGGGGGTGTCACGGGTGTGTGTGTGTGTGTGTGTGTGTGTGTGTAAAGGCTATGACTTAAGAGAGGGGTGGGAGATCTCTGGCCCACCAAATGTTGCTTGACCATTGGCCAGTGTGCCTGGGACTGATGGAAGTTTGAGTCCAACAATATCTGGAGGGCCAGGGGCCACCCACCTCCAACTTAACGCCCTAGAAGTAACATTCATTCATTTAATTTATGAAGCGCTTCCCATGAAACAAACTTGAGGAAATTAACAACCAAAGCATCTTAAAAAATGATAATTAAAAACAACACCATCAATAAAAACACATATAAAAACAATTTCAAATCCAACTGACAAGGAAGTATCTGATTTTGTTTCCATCCCTTCAAGTCCTAGGAACTTCATTATTATGTGCTTATCTCCCCCTTCCCTTCCAAACTTTGGAAAATATGCTCCACATCCTGGTTTGGATCTACTTATGAACTGGTTTTTACCGTATTTTTCGCTCTATAACACGCACCTGACCATAACACGCACATCGTTTTTAGAGGAGGAAAACAAGGAAAAAAATTCTGAATGAAACAGTGGATGTATCATTTTTGTGCTTCATGCTGTGGCCACAGACATGTGATCTGATGGTGAATTTGGGGTAGCTCAATGCAAAGATCCTGAGGATCCATGTGGATCCATGCTTTTTAACCACATTTTTGCACCATTGCAGCCCCAGGCAACAGTGGGTGTGTGATTTTGGGGGGCAGGCTGCTATGTGATCTGATGGTGAATTTGGGGTGGCCCAATGCAAAGATCCTGAGGATCCATGTGGATCCATGCTTTGTAACTACATTTTAAGTGGGGAGTGAAGGAAAAACACAGAAGGGACAAGAGAGCGGTGTGCAGAGAAGCAGCTGGCTAAGAAAGCAGGAGAGGGATTTAACGGGAGGGAGAAAAAAAGGCAAAAGTTTCCACAAACCGAAGCCAGCTTTCTCTCTCCTCCTGCATGTTTTCTGGCTGCCTGCGAGGAGCACGGAGAGGAATTAAAAGGAAAGACCTCTGCTTTCCCCTCTGCTTGCCTGGAGGGGAGGGGATTTGCCTGCTCTTTGTTCCGTTTGAGCAAACACAGCAACGAAACAGAGGAGGGTGGGCAGTAAGACCCTGAGGCAGAATGCAGGAAAGCAACCACTTCCTCTTTTCAGGTTTCCCTTCTCCGACACAACGCGCTTTGATTTTTGCTGATTTTTGTTCCTGCGCTCCCCTAATCGGCTCCAGGGACCCCCCCCCACATTCGCTCCATAACACGCACAGACATTTCCCCTTCCTTTTTAGGAGAAAAAATCTGCGTGTAATAGAGAGAAAAATACGGTAATTGTTTTTTTTAAAAAAAAAAGAATTGTTTTCAATGCTTTACATACATGGAATTGCTTATATGGTTCTTTCACTTCAAGATGCAATTAAGAAATGGAATCAAATAAATACAGAAATAAACATTAACCTAGCCTTTTCTTCATTCAGTAGCACCGAGAAACTACAAAGTATGGTTGCTGGGGTGTTGGTCTTGGACTGGGGAGAGCTGGGTTCAAATCCAGAAGAGCTATGCTAAATCCTCTGCAGGTGGGCCACTGTTGCTTACTGCAAGAAAGATGGGGAGGAGCCAGGTCTGCACACTGCAGGCTGGCTCCTCCCCAGCCAGGTCAGCAGGAACACTAGATTGGTGCTGCTGGCGCATTTGCTCCCCCCTGACCTACCTGCCCCTCCCTCTCCCCATTTAAGCAACGGTGACTGGGGCGCTAGCATGGCTCCACCCTAACCAGCAAGCTCCTTCTGCTCAAATCTCTGATGAACCATCTTTGAAGATAGGGGATATCATAATCATTGAATGAAGGGTTGCGAGGAGGATAAAATAGAATAGCTCCATGAATGCTTGGAAGGAGACGATATAATTTTACAAATAAATAAATAAATGGAGGATTGTGATGCTTAAGGCTGAAGCTGCAGTGACTGTGAGTCTATGTCTGGGAAAGTCGGAAAAACTTCAGCTTTGCCTTATTTCATAGAATGTCCAGACCATCAACTCAGCCAACTTTTCTCTTCATTTTTAATTAGGGTTGCTAAAGCTTTGTGAACAAGCCTCAGAAACTCCACTGTGTACTAAAAAGGTCTGCTGCGATGAAAGAAAGTATTTTTGTTACCATCATAGTACTAAAAAACAGTCAATACGTTTTCCTCACATAACTTTGGTAAAGGCCCCACAAACACATTTAAAGTCGGGGCAGACAGTAAGATCCTACAACATTCTAGCATTTTTCAACAAAGGTGGACACAGAAATGGGGATATCTATCTGAACCCACTAGATGTCACTAGAACCTCAGTGGAATAGCCTATCAAATGGGACAGCTTGATTTATTGAGCCTGCTTCTCTCATACAGAAAGGCAGTCTACTCCAAACAAATAATGCCAGCTTCGTGCTTGATGCAGCCTTTTCAATAACAGCCACCCAAAACGACAGAATTCCTGATACTCTTAACTTCAGATATGTTCTGTTCCCCGCACCTTTCCGTCAGGGGAAACTACACTGACTTCACCGAAAAGCTAAATTATTTCATAGAAATGGTTGAGAAGAAATGCAGTGGGTTTGCACTCAAGGGAGCCTGCATGGATGTGGAGCCAAGGGGTTTTGAGTAAAGTGAATGGATTCATCATGATAATGATGTTCTTTATGGCCAATCCACACACCCACTGGTCACTGCTTTTAATATGATGTGGCCAAAAGGTGAGCACCCTTCACTTATTAATCTGGCGAGGGTGTTTCCATGGGATTACCAGGGAGCAGGGCTGTGCTGCTGTCTCTGCTCCCTGACTGTTCACCGATTGGTGTGGACACCTGCACTGTCAAAGCCTATGTGTGACTGGTTGCTTATGCGCAGGTGCCCATGTGATTTGGGCTCTGGAACACATGGAAGCATACATGAAAGGAGCTACTTTGACAGTGCAGGTGTCTATGCCAACATGTGGACATTCAGAGGGCCAGCAGTGCAGCTCTACTCACTGGTAATCCTGTGGGGACCTTTTTGTGCACGAAGGTCTGTTGTCCGAATGTTTTGTCAAGCAAAAACGGATTTGGCTTGCTAATTCCAAACTTCCTTAGTGTGGTGAAGCAGCAGCATGTCCAAGCTGCCGATGAGCTGAGCTTTTTAGATTACCTGTTTGGCACATATAAGGCTTAGAGGTTTTTTAAAAAGTATATTAAGAGGTAGAGATAAGGTTTATCTGGGTTAAAGTAAGGCATGCACATGGATTTGTTGTTTGAAAGCAAGCTTATGCTAGGATGCCAGCTGAGTGGTTTAATTGTGTGCAGGAAACAGGAAGTGCTCCCACTTCCTGTCCTTCAGGCTTCTTCTAAATGTCTCAAGTTTCAATTAGACATTCCCCTCTGTGATGAGATGTGCGTGTTTATAAATGTGTTGAAATTTGGGAGCCAGACTGGGATGCGCAACTTCTCTGTGATGCTCCTCCTCGCAACTCTGTAGGAGAAAGATGCAAAAGTTACGAAGAACTGTGGCGATCAGGAAGCTTACAAAAATTGTGCTTCCTTTCCCCTCTACATGGTGTAGTGTCTGGAACTATTCCAAGAGCACAATCCTATACATATCTATTCAGAAATAAATCCCATTGAATTAAATGGGACTTAAGCACAGGTAAGTAGGCATAAAAATGGCAGGCTTAACATAGTTCCCAATTCCCAACACACTGATGTTCCTCTTTATTTAAAGCATTTTTATGGAAACTTGATTCTGAATTACCAGTACAGCTACATTTGATATTGGACATTGTCAGATTCTGTTTCCTCACAGTTATCTGTACCAACCTGGTGCCCTCCTAATGTTGTGGACTACGATTTCCATAATTCCTGAGCACTGACCATGTTAGCTGGGGCTGAAAGGAGTTGTAGTCCCAAACGTATGTGGAGCACCAGGCTGGCTACCCTCATTTGCATGAAGCATTTCCGCCTTCTCTTTAGAGATACTGAAATACTTTTCAATTAGAATAGATGTTTCTGTAATTTTGCAAGCAGCCCTGCCTGAATTGCATGCTGTCTTGCTCTTGAATTTGATCTAGCTTAAAGCCTAGACCAAACACCACCCTGAGTGCAAAGATCATCAGCGTGGCAAATCTCAGCATGTACTATGAGGGCGTATATAGCAGGGCAGCATTGTTTGTAGCTGCTTCATAACTAACAGATTTCCCTCCTTTTCCTGCCTTTGGAAACTCACTGAAACCTGAACCTTTCCCAAAAGGGCTCTGAGACCAGGCTGGCCTTGTGTAGAGTTTGGAATTTTAATGTGACAGGACTCCTAGGTTTGATGATTATGTGTCATTGGGAAATATGGTTGTTATCTGAGAGAAAAGCTCCAGGCCCCAGCTAACCCTCCGCAAATTAAACCTTAAGTGGATACCCTCCTGATATCCATGCACAACATACAAGTCGACCACGGTGCATTAAAAGCTGCAGGACACTTCAGTACAATGGTGATGCGAAGCACGCCAGAACAGCGACCGCGCTCTTCATTATATAGCCTCTCCTATTATAGCTTGCCTTTTAGGCACACATGATATGTCCCACTTAAAGCTGCGCTCTGAACAGACCCTCCCGACCGTGCGGCGAGCTGATGGGGCTCTGCAAGGAATTATTCTGAAGAGCTCTATTTCCTTTGACTCTTCCCAGCCCGGCCTCCGAGCCTGTCAGATGCCCAACTTAAGTAACCTTGATTTAAAAAGTATTTATGCCAAGCCATCCTCATATCAATGGATGTGCAGCAGACCGACAAGAAGCTTGGCTTTGAAGCGGCTCATTCAGTTGCCTGGGTGCCGCTTAACACCACCTGCTAGCCTGCAGCACAGCACTCACTTTTGTTTGTTTGTTTGCTCCTGCCACAATCCAACCTACCACCAATTCCGCACGTTGGCCTATCGGGGGGAAGGCTCCAGTGTTCCATTAGCAGGTAAAATGACTCACCCAGCAGTGGCAATTTGAAGGCCTGGGAGAAGGTGATGGATATCAAACCGTGAGCCAGACTTTCTTGTTCCACTGGGATCAGGGGTGGGTGGGGGGTGGGGAATAACTTGCATTCTTTCTTTCTTTCTGCTCTGTTCATATAAAAGCCTCATGTCCTCACCTCTGGTTGCAAAGCTGGCAGGCAAAGCAGTCCAAATGGTAAACATTATCTCTGGCCCTCATCACCATCTCAAAGGCTGGGATCAGCTTACTGCAGGCAGCACAATTCCCCGTGGTCCCAAAGAGCCTGCCAAGGAAGCACAATCATTAGAAGCCGTTTTAATTAAATGGCGGAAGGACTAATTAAGTGTAATTAGCAGTATCAAATACTGTATTGCACCAATAAAGAGAAGTTGCCGTCCCTTATTTCGCTGACCAGCCAGTGTGTGGGAATGTGGGCTGAAATGGCACGGAGAAAAGAAAAAGGGAGAAGGAGAAGAAAGCTGGGCTCCTTTGCTCGGCTGCTGAGCCTCCTGCTAATTGACTGCCTAATGAAGAAATGCATTTTGCACACAGAGCACTATTTTGGGGCTTCCAACATCTTAGTCAAAGCAATCTAATTGCCCCCCCTTATGCAAATTAAGAGCATCTTTGCAGAACATCTTTACAGGCCCCTCTTTCAGACCTTCCGCTTTCTAATTTGCTATTCTTTCATCAATTCCTACTGATTTGTTAGCTATACGGTGTGTGTGTGCTGGGTATGTTTTTTTGGGAGCATTGGATGAAAACATGTTCCCTGTGGGCCACAATTTGCCTTTGTTATAGGCAGAAGTTGGGTGAAGTTAAGATACCTGGGAGGCAGAGAGAGCTAAGTTTATTCTACATGATACTTATTTTTTTCAGACTGGGGGTGGTTGGGGGTGGGGGTGGCATTTTCAATCTAGAACTAAACACTGAAATAGGATCCTATGCTGATGGGACCCCAGGGTGATATCAATCCATGCAAGTTTGGTTTGGCTCAAAAAACTCATCTGAATTATTTCACATTCAGTCATTTAGTGCTGAATTGGAAATGCAAGTTGATCTTTCCAGTGCAGAACAGATCCCATGACTGCTTCCACGTGGATCAAGATCACTATCTACCACGTCACTGGAGGATTTTCTAGGACGTGGAGGAGTTGTGATCTGAACATACATGGGCATTCGCAAAAGCTACTCAGCCCATCCATATCCACTGGAAGAGTCAAGTTGACTCCATGTAAACCATGTTTACGGGGCCCAAAGTCTCCCTCTGAGAAGAGTCCCATCTTCCCACAGTTAAAATGTTAAGAATCTTAATTGGAATCTCAACCTGGAAATGAATTTTGGCAAAAAATAGCGTTGCTTCCCTTTTACTCCATTCTCTTCAATTTCTCAATGAAAGCAATTCTTCCTCTACATCAATTGGTTCCACCCCACCCCCACCCCTGGTCTTTGGAGATAGCTTTTGTGTCAACACAAACGCTTTGCCAACTTTGTTATCTGCTTCCACAGATACTGGCTGCTTTCAGAGCATGACACTCCAAGAAGTACGGTTTGCTCTTCCAGGCCCACCTACAAGTCCTTCAAGATCACTGCAGCATCACCAGCACATGAAGAATGCATTACAACAACTCTTATAAAAGAGGCGGGAATCTCTTGACAAGTACGACACATGGGAAGTTCACCGTATCTCAGCCGTAGACCACAAGTTTTGTACTCAGAAGGTCCTGTATTTTCAGGTCAAAGAACCGTAAGTAGCCTGCAACCTTGGGGAGCTATGGCCAGTCAAGAGTAGAAAATGTGGGACTAGATGGCCCATTGGACAGACTCAATATAAAGCAACTTCATACCCGGTCAGATTAAGTTCCTCTTTAACAATAAATGTAGGCAATAAATAGCTTTATTTGAAAGGCAATAGGTTTGATCCTGATTGAGTGGGTTAAACTTTTAAAAATCAGTGGGATTCCACTTTCATGGCTCATTTTTTCAGGCAGATTTCAATGGGGCCTAAGTACAACTAACTTACTCTAGATCCAATATGATTTATTATGTAATTACTACAGCGGTGTGGAAGACAGCATTCTGTTGCCTTTTCCAACACACAAGAGCTAAACCTCTGTAGTTTGCAAATGACTCCACTTCAAAGTTTGTATGACAATGGTGCCAATCAACTGCTAGCTACACTTTAAGTAAAAAATACTCAGTAAAAACTACAAAATACACAGTGTGCTGATTTAGTATGTGAGTATGACTCTGTGATAAGGTCTCTCTTATGTGTTCAAAACCTGGGGAGATGCATCCGTCTCCTCCTTCATTGTTGACTTTCAGGAGGAATCGAAAAACATTCTTGTTCACCCTGGCTTTTGATGACTGAAAGATACTGGCCGTGGCAACCTTGAAATTAGCAGCTGGGAGAGTTTGCCATTGTGTTTTTAGATGTTCTATATGCTTTCAAATGTTTTAGTTGGTTTTAAAATTGGTTCTGTTTTAAATTGTATTGTTTCAACTTGTTCATGTTTGCTGCTATAGAAATGTAACAATAATAACTGTAATTGATGCTTACGTCTTTTATAGATGTAAGCTACCTTGAGGGGGAAGGCTCTTTAGGGCCAAATGAGTAGATAGAAATGCTTGTATATATAAATATTAATATGGGTCTAGTGCTATTGCTAATATTTGTGCTTTTAATCCTGAAGAGAAAATTTGCAATCTTCACTGCTTTCATCCTCACAACAGACTGGCAAGATGGTTCATTACTATTCTCGTTTTACAGATGGGGAGCTGAATCTGAGATTTGTTGAAGGCCACACACAAGAAAGCTGTCACACGGATGCTACTTAAACCCAGATCTGAGTTCAGCTTTTCATCAACCGTGACGCATCCTTGCTTCCATTATAACTGAGCTCAGGCTGTAGTCTACCTCCACAGAGCCTTGAGAATCCCGATCCATCAGCGACTGGGTGCCGGAGTAAAAATATGTATCATAACCTTCTGATGACCTACTTCTATATAGTCTCACCATGAGGTGATGGGAAAAGTTACCATAAGGTCAGAGGAAAAACATTGTCTAGATCTGCGTGAAACCAGAGTTTCCTGTGCAGCCTGTTCTTGGAGAAGTGGGAGAGTATTTGAAGCTTTTGTCTCTTTCTCAAGCAAAGTTAAGAGTATTTGTGCACGACTCTGAAGATCCAGAGTCTCTTTATCCAGAGTTTTAGTGTCAGCCCTCTAACTTGCACTTTAAAATAGAACCAAGCAAAAATGATTCAGCGGTGGAGCAAGCTGATCGGGCGCCTGGAGGGCGTGTGTACCCTCCACCCAGGGGCGGGGTCAGCTGCCTGTGGGGCGGGGAGAGCCAGGTCAGGATACTCCACGGGGCCTCTGAGGAGTCTGCCTGCCTCCTCCCACTCAGCTGCCCTACGGATGAGGTGGCGGGTGGACCATTTGGGGCAGCGCGGAGCCTGTGGGTGCCCAAGCCACCGCATCACTCCTCGGAGATAAGCATGGCTTTGGCACGCTGCAGGCCTCACAGTGAGTGCTGCCTGACATTTTGTCACTCCCCTCAGTGGTGACACCCGGGGCGGCTTGCACCCACTGTATCCCCTTCCTCCGCCCCTGGGCTGGTTGGCACAACTTTTAGCTCTTTGAAAAGGCCTCCTCCATTTCAGTAGTATTTCTTGGGGGAAGGGGCCCACACATATGAACGGGATAAAATAGCATCTGGAGGACACTACACTGGAGATAGCCTTTTCTGATGCCCCAGCAGTGAAGCCAACACTATCTTCAAAAGTTAGATATGAAGATCAATCTATTGCATGTTTACTCAGAAATTCATCTGTGTTAGCTGGATTTAGGCCTTTGGAAGTGTGTTTCGAATTCCAGCCTAAGTCAATTGATATGAAAGGTCTTTGTTCGCATTAGTTTGTTGTAATGACTACGTTGAATGGATTTTATCCTATTGTTACTTTACATTGTTTTAGCTCAAGCTGTTATCTAACTTAATGGCTGCTATAGTGAACAATAGCTTTAAGCAAACAAGTAGAAAGAGGCATTAAACGAATTTTGCAACGAAAGGGAAACAAACCCAGGAAATGACTATGCAGGGCATTTCACATCCCTCACATTGTTCAACCAATGTGCTTTCTGGGGTCAGCTGAATATGATTTTTTGCCCCAAACAGTGTGGTGTAAAGGAGTCTAGTCTTTACTCAGCTATGAAGCTCACCTTGGGCCACTCATTATTTCTCTAAACATAACCTACTTACAGGGTTGTTGTGAGGTAAAAAGGGGATAGGGAGGACCATGCATGCTACTTCCAGCTCCTTGGAGGAAAGGTGGGATATTATTATTATTATTATTATTATTATTATTATTATTATTAATTGCTGCTGCTACTGAATGACTACTAACTCATCACCTCTCTGTAGATTTTATGAATATAAATGGCCTAAATCAGTTCAGGAAACTATAACATTGCCTCATCTTGATTTGGTTTGTGCTTTAGAAAGTATCCCCACTTCTTTTATCTTTGAAATGAGACTATACTTGTTTATCTTTAAAGGGACACTAGTTCTATGAAAACTGGGAGGTAACACACAATGTGTTTAGCAGACAGTTGCAAATTTGTGTCAATTTTGCCAATAAAATATAAGTATCACTGATGGATGCAGCTCACTTAAATTGCAAAAAAATGGAGGTTCTCAGCATTTTATTGCTGCACTCATATTAATCTGTGTTACTCTTCCAAATGACAAAGTTGACAAGTTGCTTTCATCTTTGAAATCAGAATGCTACCCCTCTGATCTTTAAAATATCCACATCGGTTACCATTATAAAATAAATAAATCACTGCCCTATATCCAAATGGGGAAATTAGAAGCAAGCTAATCCTAGATTTGTTCAGAGCGCAATGCCACTCCATGTGCGAATATAAAAAAATCCATTATTCATTAGCATCACAGTTGTGTGGAGCTCAATCTAGATTAAACAAAAAAAGGGGGGCAGACAGCACTATCTGCATTGTTAAACAGGCACTTTTTGTCACCCTTTGAATTAGCGGCTTCTCTAAATGGAAATGATGGGAAGTTTGGACAGATGTTCACTTAACTATTTAAACAGTCAGCTTAAGGAACATGAAAAATGTATTTGGTACTGGATTCACCTGCCTCCTTCCAGGGGCTTTGGGGGTAAGACAGTGTTAAACAGCTTTGAATGTTTGCATAAGATTTAAGGCTTATGTTCTGTCCAGCTGAAATCATGTTGCTTTTTAATGTCTGTAACAAATATAGCT